TCTCTCTATCTTTCTATCTGATCTATCTATCTCCTTTACACATACACGTGCTCAATCATTTTCACACGTGCACTCGATTCATACAATCTTGATTTGTATTCTTTATTTACTCATCCCCTCTCCTCACCCTGCCCCCATTTGCCCCTTTGGATGACAGGTTTTCCATCCTGAAGTTGACCCAGAAGTTTGGATCTATCCGAAAGATGGACTTTGTGTACCACAAGTCTGGGCCGGAGAAGGGAAAGTCCAAGGGATACTGCTTTGTCAGTTTCCACACCTGGGAGGTAGGACACATTAGCCTTTTGTAATTTGTACGGATTTTCCCGAAAATGATGTAAATGTAATCGTCGTCGGTATCAGCGCTTTTTAATTGGCTCAAAGAGAGGAGTGCACTTTATTTATTCGCTTAGTTTAGTATGTATAACCCAACTGTGCCCTGCATCATGTAAGTAATAATGTAGTATATATATATTCTTCTTTTACAATATATATCTCTCTCAGTCTCCATCTTACTGTCTGTCTTCATCGTTTAGATCACTTCTATCTATCTCTCTATCAGTCCATCCATCCATCCATCCATCCATCCATCCATCCATCCATCCATCCATCCATCCATCAATCCATCCATCCATCCATCCATCCATCCATCCATCCATCTATCTATCTATTCATCTATCTGTAGCCTTGTGTTGGGTCTAGTCTTTGGATTTCTTTCCTTCTCTATTTTCTTTTTATTGCTGCTCACAGTCAAAAAGTGTAACGCGAGTGGCTGGCGGGTGCTCTGGTTTTGGTTTGCTCCTTCTTTCCTACTGAGCGTCTATCGTCCTGATCTCTCCTTTTTTTTGTTTCAAATTTACTCCGGTAACATCTTTAATCTTCAGCATTTATGTGACCTTATTGTGTTTCAAGTGTGGAAAAATTCTTACAAAAACTGAATTTGCATGTGCAACATTGCCTGGTTCATCATCCTTGCTTCATTCAGCATGTCAGCTTGTAACAATTTAATTCTTGAGGTCACAGATGTGTATTTCTTGTTGATTGGCTCTAAGATTTTTACATTGGAAATCAGCAGCTCACTTTATCATGATTGTATGTTACTCTTGTATTACGCCCAGTTTGTGCCACTGTTTGCTGATTGTTTTGAGTTGAGGTCCTCTGGCAGAATATCACTATCCTTTTGTATCAAGTGCTGGCAGTTGGCATCAATCTTGTCAATTGAGGTTTCGCTATTGCCAACAAGAGTGGTTAGAACTGAATGTTTGACAATGAAAGAAAGTGAAATCTGAAAGTTTTTATTTTATTTTTATTTTATTTATTAAAAAAACAAAACAGATTTGAGTGTTTTTAGTCTCCCAATTTCAGGTAGACATTGCAGATTCCTGACTGTGACTGAAATAAATCTCTCATTATGTGTGTGGTTTGTCTGTTTCTCTCAGGCAGCAGATAATGCCCGAAGAGCCCTAGATGGGAAGTTTGCAATGAGCCGACCGATGTACGTTAAGTGGGCACAGGGGGCCAGGGAGGTGAGTGCTCTGTGTGTGGGTATGATAGCGTGGCTTTTTAATTCTAGTCTCAGTGTGTGTCTGTCATTTAAACATTTCTGATTGTCTTTGATTCTTTTATTGTGTGCTGTCTGTGTTTAGATGTGTCATGTTTACTGATTCAGTTGTCTGTTTCTGTGTCTCTAATAATGTGGATCGGTACCTGGATAAAATTTTATGGAGATTGAAAGAAAAGGTGTCTTGAAAAGTAGTTTACCCTTGTTACCGTTGTCATCATCATGTAAAAAAAAAAGATATTTATGAAAGTAGATTTAATAAAATGTCCAATCAGTAACTACAAATAGGATATCTGAGGATTAAATTTGAAAGTCTCTTGTCGTCATATTCAGTCTTCTCTTATTTTCATCAACATCAAACATCTATCGTCATGACTTCTCCTCTTTCTTCTTTGTGTTTGTTACTCTCTTGTAACACCTCTAGTCTTCGGCACTTACATGACCTTATTGTGTTGCAAGTGCATTAAAACTTTTACTAAAACTAAAACTAAACTAAATCCTTCACAGCTGATAGAGCCAGCTCCCCAGATCCCAACCATCTCCTCCCTGCCCACGTCCACTGTCCAGTCCGCCACCTCATCTTCCCTCAAGGCCAGCCTAGCCGCCGCCTCCGAGACTGTCAGGTGAGTGAGTGGTCAACCAAGTCGGGGGTCGGCTTGGACTGGTCAGTTCATAGCAGTTCGGTTTCTAGTTGATCATTTTTTCCTTGAAATATGAGAAGCTGGCAATTTTTTCCTTTTGTCTTTAAGGTCAGTGAAAACCAGATGAATGGTTCAAAATGCTTTGTTATATTTTGTCTCTAGTCTTATCAAATGTAATTTACTGGTTGTGGAGATGCAATCTATTTTTAAACTGATAGTGATTTGATGGTTCAGTACAGGACAAAACATCTCATCTATTGTGGCGTCGGTGGCCTAGTGGATAGGCTCTCGGACTTGTAACAGTAAGGTCGTGGATTCGAATCCTGTCAGGGGCCCGATGTTGTGTCCTTGGGAAAGGAACTTTGCACAAATTTTCCTCACTTTACCCAGGTGGAAATGGGTACCCAGCTATAGACAGTGAAAGATCTTGTCAGTTTGATAGTGTTTGAGTGCGTGAAATCCGCAGCTTGCATTGTATGCTTCCACGGAAGCTGAGACTGTTTCTGAGTGTTCTCAGAGGGTCTGCTGGGGTAATAATAGTTGTAAAGCGCATAGAGCAAGCTCTTGAGCCTGGATATGCGCTATATAAATGCAATTATTATTATTATTATTATTGTTAAAACTTATAGCCGGGAACAACTATATGCGTGTGAATTTTTGTGTGTGTGTGTCTGGGTTAATATGTGTCTGTGTTAATATGTGTCTGTGTTTATACTTCTTTTCTCTCCTAACAGTTTCTGGCTCTTTGTCCTGCTTCTTCCTTGCACTAACCGTTATTCTGTAGATGTGCTTCTCTTTTCTCAAATAAACATACCCCCCCTTTCTCATTTACATACCCCTTAACACTCTTAGAGCTGTAAACACTGAATTGAGGAATCACCAATAAACTAACGCAACTCAACCCCCCATCTTTTTCCTCCTCCTCACAGTACCGATGCTAAGATTCGGGCCATCGAGGCTAAGCTCCAGATGATGGACGCCACGAAGAAAGACTTCAGTCTAGGGGAGACCATCCGCCCCCCGCCGGGCTGGACGCCACTGACCACCGTCCACCAGAAGGATGACCGCTCGCGCTCAGGCCCGTACAGGAAGTCACAGCACTTGTCAGGTGTCCGGCACAAGAGGAGATAACGTCGGCTGTGGGGATAGTGTAGTGGGGGGGGTGATGGTGGATGCGTGGATGAGTTGTGTATGTGAGTATGTTTGTGAGTATCTGTGTTGCTGAGACTGTGTGTTTGTGTGTGTGTGCGCGTGTGCGTACTTGGATTTCTTTTCATGTGTATGTTTGTATCTATGCTTTTACCTGTATGACATGTGTGAATAAAATATTTATATGTGTGTGTGTGGGCATGTTGACCAGCTATCTGGCAGCAATGGCATGTATATAGTCATCTGTCAAGGCCTTAACCGAGTGGTACCCTTATTTATATGGGTCATAAGATTATCCTGCCCTAGTGTTCAGTCATTCAGTCATGTATGTGTGTATAGTATGTCTTTTCGTCTTTGGTTGGTTTGTTTTTGGGTTTTGTTTTATGCATTTTTGTTTATTTTAGTTGTTAGTGTCTGTGTGTGTGTGTGTTTTTGTATTTCTTGTTGTTTTCAGACATGAGATTATTTTTGTGACTGCCCAGAAATAGCATTGCATGTCCTACTTGTGTTGTTCCAGTCAGACCGTGGAAAATAATCATTTTTTTGTATGTTTTTTTTTTTCTCTGCTATTTAAACTGAATTTTGTCTCTATCGCTTCAAATTCTAAGCGGCATCTTGCTAATGTTACTGTTTGACTTGTGCATTCATAGGATGGACCTTGTCCGGCTGATCTCCGTGATATTATACAGTCCAAAGTGTCGAAGGAGGCCACCAGTTGTCGGGGAGAAAAGTGGCTGTCTTAGTTTATCGCCTTACACAGTGTCATAATGTAAAAAACAAAAATACGCAAGGGAGGAAATTGGAAGTAGCCATTTGTACAAGTAATTGTGACATTGTCTTATACAGGTGGCCGTTAAAGCAGGTTCGACTGTAAAGATGCAAATACATTCCAAGATCCATCTAGATCTAGCAGCAAAGAGGAAAAATGGTCATGTTACACAGGCCGCTACCTCAGAATTACAAAGTTTTATCTGCTCAGTAGGCCTACCTAGTTTTGAGAAATTTGATGTGAAAAATTTAAATAGAGCAGATGGTTTCTGACCTCATGATCTTAGTAACTCAAAATGGCCAAAAATGTCAAATAGAACTTTGTAAGTGTGAGGCATCGTGTTGAAATCGGGAGCTCGTCAAAATAATGAAATCGGAGGAAAAGGCATTTTTCAACAAGTTTGGCAATTTTTATCGAAATTTTGTTTTTTGGCTAAACACCTTTTATGTTTGTATGAAAACCCATTTCCGTGTGAATTTTACTGAACACCCTTGTTTAAAGGCACAAAATATGTAATTTTCAGTTTTCAAGGACTCTTAAGCTATTGAAGTTGCCAAACTTTGGCGGACATTTTTTCATTAATTTAATCACTGAAACCAGGCTAGCCCACCTTCTTCAATCGCAAATATCTCGACTTCTATTCAAGCTAGATGGATAATTTTTTCATTGAAAGCAAGGCAAATGAATTTATAAGCTTTGAGGTGATATCAATAACTCCACATGCCCAAATATTGAAAAGTGCCTGATTCCACCAGGTCGTGCCACAAATTGTAATTCTAAGGTATGGAGATGGTCCTCTTGAGCAACGACATGACTGACCTGGGCAGGTTCAACTGTATATTGGTCTCGGCCTACAACCCTAACGTTTCTTGGTGGTGTGTTGAAGAGTTGACCGAAGATGTCTGATAGCACTTGCAGGAACATTTTTGACACTTTTTGGGTGGGTGGTTGGTGGGTTCTCTGGTGTGGTTTGCTCCTTCTTTCCTATCAAACATCTATCGTCTTTATCTCCCCTTCTTCTTTTTTATGTTTGTTACTCTCTTGTAACGCCTCTAATCTTCTGGCGCTCATATGACCTTATGCAGTTGCGAGCGCCTAAAACCTTTATTAAAACTAAAACTCTTTGTGGTGGCAATATTTTCGACTTTTTATAATGAACTCATAGGATTGAAACTCAGGACAGCCTGTGAACATGTGCAGTTTAATTTATTTTAATACTTTATTCATGTTATGGTCGTTTGATTCTATTTCTGGCAGGAAAGAATGAATGTATGTGAGTGAAGTAAGTGGTTGACGGGTTCCAGTGGTAGATCCTACTACTACTGGTTTCGTTTTTTTCTCACTTTCTCTATCTGAGCTCTCTTCCTTCCATTCCACTCCTCTCTCTCTCACTCTCTCTCTCTCTCTCTGTCTCTGTCTCTGTCTCTCTCTCTCTCTCTCTCTCTCTCTCTCCCTCGGCATTATGGTATGTCCACTATCATGCCAATGTACAGCTTCAACAACTCAAAGAAACAAATTACTGGATGTAACTGTACTAAGTGAATGTCACCTCATATTTTGTGTCTGAAGAAGAGAGACTGGATGTCTCTTGAAAATCGTTTACATTTTTGTGTTTTATTTTTTTTAGAGTTTTCATACATGATTGATTGCAGCTACTTTTTGGATTAATCAAATTAAATGAAAAAGATTGTCAGATCTCTATTTTTATCCTCTCTCAGTGGAAAATTGTTTTGAAATGTTTAATGGATGAACTTTTGGGCATTCTGATCTTGTGCGGCTATTTTGTCAGCAAATGTTGTCATGTGTCAAGTATTCGTTGTTTTACGTCAGATTTGTATTGTTTGTTTCTATTACAATTTCCTGAACTGAGAACATGTGTCTGTTGTTTTTTGTCATGAGAAATCATTACACTGTGCTGTGGGGTGGTTTGCTCCTTCGTTCCTATGAAACACTTATCGTCCTTATCTCCCCTCCTTCTTTTTAGTGTTTGTTACTCTCTTGTAACACCTCTAATCATCTGGTGTTCATATGACCTTATGCAGTTGCGAGCGCTGTAAAACCTCTACTAAAACTAACTGTGGGGTGGTGTCAGTATTCTGGCTGTTACGATTCCGAAGTCATAAAGCTGAAGCCATAGTAGACCCGACCCGTTCCGTTTTTTCGACATGGTTCTTTTGCTGCTGGAGCGTTTCCGTAAAAGCGGCCATAGTAAACCGGCACTGGTTTGACGGCTGCTTACGTCACTGGCCTCGTATCAAAATGGCGAGGGCTACTAAACGAAACAGATGGTTGTTTCTGCTCTTGTGGTTGAGGAAAAAGAAAAGAGGGGGGTCCTCGATGTTTTGTGGTTCACCCCATCAACAGAAGAAGAGCTTTGTGTGGAGAATACCACCATCTGATTCCCCAACTGTGCAATTACCCAGAGAAGTTTCAGCAGTATCTCAGGATGACACCTCAGTCTTTTGATTCTCTTCTTGAACTGTGTGCACCCGATCTTAGAGATTAGTCAACGAATTTCTGCAAAGCGATGTCACCTGAAGAACGTCTTGTTGTGACACTGAGTTAACTACATTCATTGTATCTATATATAAATATGATTCAGGGAAAGTTCTTCATCAATTGCAAGGGGAAAGAATTTTCATTTTAAATCATTGACAAAGTATTGTTTATTCCGACTTTCCTTTCCGTCGACCCGGCAGCCGGACCGTTTGCACGATAAGCGAGACGACGGTGTTAAAATGCCGTGCTGGGCCGGCTGTTACTTTGGCCGTTCACGCCCGTCGCTGGTGGCGCCACATAGCAGTTCAGCCGGGTTGATTCTTCTCCCCGCCACGGCAAAAGAACGGTGTCGGATAAAACGGAACGAGCCGGGTCTACTATGGCTTCAACCTAATCGTGAGATTGCAGGCTGGGGGATGGGTGGGTGGGGGGTGGAGGCTCAGTTCAGTCCGACACTGTGTCCTTGGGAAAGGCTCTATACATGAATTTCTTCCCATTTGGTTCGGCCTTATCGGAGATGGACGCTGAATTCAGTGGTCCTGCCTCTTAACCTCTTCTTAGGTAACTTTACAGTAAGGTGTCGAAAAGGGTGTTTAACTTATAACTTACACAATTTGTTTTCACATTGTGGTGTAGAATTTAGACAGTGGGTGATTGAGGGTGCCACTGGTAGGTCCTACTTCTTTTCTTACCCTCTGTTGTTTCTGTTTGTCTTACTTTTTCCCAGCACTAAATGAAAATGGCCATTATTGTGGTTGCTAAAAAAAAACCACACACAAAAAAAAGAGTTAAGACTAAGACGCCTTGCCACCACACGCAGAAGACATCAGTGTGATTCCGTGGGTGGTTGGCGGGTGCTCTGGTGTGGTTTGCTCCTTCTTTCCTATCAAAAGCTATCGTCCTCCACTCTCCTCCTTTTTTGTGTATGTTACTCTCTTGTAACACCTCTTATCTTCGGCACTTATATGACCTTTTTGTGTTGCAAGTGCCCTAAAACTTTTACTATGGGTGGTTGGTGGGTGCTCTGGTGTGGTTGGCTCCTTCTTTCCTATGAAAATCTATCTTCTCTTTCTCCCTTCCTGTTTTTGTGTTTGTTACTCTCTTGTAACACTTCTTCTAATCTTCGGCTCTTATATGACCTTATTGTGTTGCAAGTGCCGTAAACTCTTACTAAAACTGAAAAAAGACTCTTACTAAAACTAAAGTTTGATTCCTACGTAGGGAATTTGTTTCTTTGGGTACTACTACGTCTGTCTGCTGGGACCTTGCTATCACTTCCGAGGCTGGTCCTGACCTGACTGGCATGATTGAAGCAGCCCACCTATTAAATGATCGAAATTGTGATTGTCTTGTGTGTGTGTCGGGGGGGGGGGGGGGATAAAAAAAATGTACCGTACAATCACATAATTACTGCTTCTGCTTCTAGTCTTTCCACTTCTATTGCCAGTCTCTGTGCATGTGGGGGAGGGGGGTATGAGATCTTTAGGTATCTTAATGGTCAGATCGGTTATGAATGGAACAAGGGTCATCGTAGCAATGTTATCTTTTCAGCTTAAAATGCAAAGTGCATGAGTTGGAATCCTATTTGGAGGGAGTTCTATTGAGTATATCTGTCGATTTGCTGGAACGTTCCACCCCACTCAGCTGGGTTGGCTACTTTAATGGGGAAGATTAAAGTAGCCGGCCTCCTATATGGTCTCAATAGTGTCTATGGGAGGTGCAACATGTGTTTTAATGAAGGAGGT